TGATCATATATGGGGAGGGGGAGGTAATTAGGTAATGAGAATGGAGCCCTCATGGGTGAGACCTTATAAGAAGAAGCCAAAGCTAGCTTTGCTCTCTATCACGTGAGGATACCACAAGAAGTCAGCAGTCCACAGCCTAGAAGAGGGCCCTCATCAGAGTCCAGTCATGCTGACACCTTGAGCTCAGGCTTCCAGGCTCAAGAACTGTGGAAAATAAATTTCTTTCTTCCTTTTCTTTATAAACCACACAGTCTATAGTACTTTGTGACAGCAGCCCAAGCTAAGATAGAATCCAAAAAAAAGAAAACTCTCTAATAGCATTGTCCAAAGTGTATTCATTCATCCTTGTTAACAGAAGATCCACGTCACAAAGGGTGAAAAACTCAGTGCTGGGCTAGCCAAGGTGAGCAGGTTTCCTCACAGCAGGACTTCATGGAGGCTTTGAAAAGTTAATGTGCATTTTAAATTTCTAAGAGAGAAGAACAGGAATCCCAAACACCCTTCATCACAGAGACTTTCTGCATCCCACACTGTGTTCCAAGACAAGTACTTTGACCCACCAAAGAGCGAGCCCCCCGACTGCTGTTCTTTTTCTTTTTAACAGAATTCTGATTCTGTTTGGGCAGCTATGCTGCCAGCCCGAGATGATGGATCTTGACCTGCACTACAGGGATCCTGGTAATCTTGTCCCTTTACTAAGTACATATTTTCCTGGCACCCTTCCAGCTAGGGATGGTCATGACCACATGACCCAGTGATAGCCAGTAAGCCACAGAGGAAGTCAGTTTGACCATTAGATAGCTCTCCTCCCTGATAAAAAGAATTCTTAGACTTTTCTAGCAATTCCCATTTTTTTTTTTTTGCTAGTGATGCTGACGCTGGGTGATGTCAAACAGAGCTATGACTCTTGGGTAGTTTTAAACAGGGGCACAAATTCCTTAATGCTCTTCCCATTGAGAAGTAGGATCCCTGGGTTTCTCTCTCAAATCTGGCAGGCTTGTGACTGCGCTACGAAAGTTTCGTTGCCAGAACACTGGCCCTGCATCCCTGAACCCCACGTCACAAGTCCAGCAACCCTAAGTGCTCCATGCTATGAGGAACACTAGACACAGAGGCCACGTTTGAGGGCTTTGGTTGACAGTTTCTACTGAGCTTTTCTTTTTGGTCACCCACTTTTAGAATACTGAAGTTTCTATTAGATTCTAGCCTCTGGTAGTTCAATTCTTCCCAACCAATGCTCCACATATTGTAGAGCAGAGATATACCACCCATTGTGCCCTAGAAAAATACCCAATCAAAAGGATCTGTCAGCATAACAAAATAGTTGTTTTACACCACTAAACGCTGGGGTAGTTTGTTATAAAGCAATGATAATCAGAACAGACTTGATCTCTTAACCCTAAGGGAAAATCCCAAAGGATCACAGAGATGCTGGCCTGAAGCCCCAATACATCCCTAATAGGAAACTTCTTCACACGTGAAATAATTACATCTCTTTACTGCTTAAGCCACAGTTAGTCAAAACATTCCTAAATGATGCCCCATGCTACTGCTCAGATTGACAGATCCAGACCAAAGCCCCACTCTTTTCCCCATGCTTTGCTGCATTGGCCTATCTGCTGGTATTTCTGTTTTGGGAGTTTCCTTTCCTCCACAAACTGCCCTAGATTGACTTGTCTAAAACACACTCCGATCCCATTATTTCCTTACTTACAATCCTCCAAGTCTCCCCACCACTCTGAAGATGTCCATTGCTGCAGTAGGTGGCAAAATCAGATGCAAGAAATGAAAAATCCAAATCTGAGCCATCCCAGTCTCTATGAACCAGGCATGGTGCGCATAAGCTCCCAGGCAGATCTGAGGTGCAAGTCTAGATAAGAACCCCAGAAGCCCACCTTCCTCCAGGCAGAAGGCCACACTCCTTCTTCTGTGCTCCCACAGTGCCTTTTTGATATTTCCACTACAATATGATAACTTTTTTAAAATTTCTATCACTCTCACCAGATAGAAAGACACCAGAGAGCAAGGACCTGTCACACAGAATACTGCACCCCAGCACCTACTACACCATCAGGAGGCGGTCAGCATGGTTGGATGAACACAGAAGAATAGACCGCTGCCTTCAGAGGCAGGTCTATTTCCTTCAAAACTTTGCTTTCTCTGCCAACTGAGCAAACGACCACGGAAAATACAGAAAACTGCAGATTAGACAAAGTCCAGGGTTTATAATTTACGAGCCCTGGGTTGATTGGCCAAAGTAACCTGAAAACCCAAGGGCCAATTCTTTAACAACTGAGAAGACAGAGAAGCCATTCAAATTTTACACTGCAAAGCACATTCTGAAAATATATTTTGAGGTCCATGATTTCATCTGCATCTTGCACATGCCTCTATGACCAACCCATGACTTGCACTATGAGTTCTCAGCAAAGGACCTAATCAAAGGTGTCCTGTTGGCACCAATCCAAAAAGCAAAGTCTATCACAAGAGTGCTATCTCAGTTAGCTATGTCCTACAGGGTACACTGGGCAGGTTCCTCAGTCATACACAGAGAGAAACTCCTTCACTTCCCCAAATCCCTATTATCCAGAGTACTTTATCCCAATATGAAGGATATTTGCAAGCCATGCTCTATAAAATGAACTCTGTGGTCTGCTTACTCATGAGTATATGGGGACAAAAGGGTGATGAGGACTAAAATTTGGTGGCACTGTGCTGGGTATATCCAGATACTTTCTCATTTTATATTCATAACAACTAGTAGATTGCAGTACTATTCCCATTTGAGAGAAAACTGGAGTTTAAAGTAGCTATACAACTTTTTCAATGGGCAGAGCTGAGATTTAGAGCAGGATCTGTTCACCACTGCCTGCAGGATCTCTTCCAGTGACCATTCCCGCTCACCTCTGTGCCACCCTCACCCCCCAGCATCTTTCCTCTCTGGGCTCTTGCAAATGAGAAAGGAGGGAAGCAACACTGCCTAACCCCATTCTAAGCTCTTTCCCAGGGTCAGCTCTTCTCATGCCCGACTAAGCTTTGAATATTTTTCTCTCCGTTTCACAGATAAACCCGCTGAGACATGGAGACCTTATGGAACATGACCAGTATCACACAGTTCATGACACACAGTGCTCTTTTCACCTCACCATGCAGTCCCCTTCTCTGCCTTAAATATGATGGGGTTTCCTTGTTTTTTGTTTTTTGTTTTTTTCTCCTAAGTGACCAAAAAGCATTTAACACAAAGAAAGCAATAGGAATCCAAACAGCCCTGGAGGTGGTCACACTACCCTCTCTCAAGGGCCTCTTCCAAACACCTTTCTTCCACATGGGGCACTTTTCTGTCCAGAGAATGCTTGCCAGATACGTGAGCTCATGTGACTCTCCCAACAGCCTTGAGAGGGACAGGCTGACATCCTTGACTTCCAGAGCAGGAAACTAAAGCTAAAACAGGTTAAGTATCTTAACCAAGGTCACACTGCTACAAAATGCTTGAGGACAGACTCCAACCATGCCTCACAAGTCAAAGCCCACCATCTTCCCACCTCATAAGGAACACTGACTCCCAGGGACCCACCCACCCACTGAAAGAGCAAGAAGTTACTAGAGGAGATTCTTCATCTTAGGGAAGACATTCTTTAATATGTGTGGCTCTCCAGGGCAAGAATTAGGGACAAACTACAGAATCTGCAAATGTCTCCTGAAGGCTACTCCTCTCACCCAACCCCCAGTGAACAGAGGACATTTGCCCTCCAGGATCCACAAGAGGAATAACACTGGATTCACAAAAGCCCAGCGTCGTTTGATCTCACCATGACTTCCCCGACCAAAGGGACAGACCCACCCACAAGTTGGGTGTGGAGCTGTGGAGGTTTACAGCACACTTCCCAATCAGGTCAGCACATACATGCTCAAGTTTGCGCTTGAGCCTGGTTATTACCCTAGCAGACGAATGGGCATGACTGTCAAGCCCCACTCCACTGCATTTAGAGGAGATCTGGAAGCTACGTTTCCACATCCACAATCCAGATGATGGGCAGTGCCCAAATTTTCCCTGCAAAAAGAACACAATGCCTCTTCTTTTCTTTTGGGGGGTGAGTGGGGGGGACCTAAATAAAGAAGCCATTATACAATGGCAGAAACTTCAGCAACAATAAGCTTTCTGGTTTGTTGGGGTTTTTTTCCCCCTTCTTTTTTAACATACTATTCATTGAGCACCCATATGCCTGATGATACTCTGGATGCTTTCTAAGCATTATCTCAATTGTTATGATAACCCTATAAGGAATTATGATATTATCAATGTCAATTTAGGGATGAGGACAGACTCCAACCAGGGTTCAGCATGTTAAGGAAAGCTCACAAAATCAACAGTTGGACAGAAGCAGACTGAGATTTGAGCCCAAGTTCATTTGGCTCCAAAGCCACTGCTTTTCCATCACTACCTATCAACATCCCTATAAGGCCTTCAAGATCAACAAGCAAATGAATTTGTAGACATGGGCAACCCATTTTGGCCCCTGTTAAACTTTACAAAAATAAACTGCTAGATTCTTGGTTTCTCTGTTACTGCTAAAATTAATTAAATTAATTTGATGGTCAAAGGGACCATAAAAATGTTTGGAGACAACAAATTTGATTTATCAGAATCAGGCCTCGAGATGAAATTCATTCAATTTTTACATTCATGGCTGTGAGCCTATGGTTGATGTATTTAAATTATGTGCTTTGGCAAGAAAGGATATCATTAAAATGCTATCATGTAGCATACAATTTTAAAAGCATACCCTCAATTACATGTAATTTACCCTCTGATGACTGGAAGATTCCAGTTGCTCACAAGAACTGGAGACTCCCCTCTAACATTTTCAGCCCCCTCACCCCAACAAAAGACTGCCTGCCACCCTTGAAAGAGCCAAGATTTTTCACTCTTACAGAGGAAGCTGTGTTTCCTTATGTATATTCACCCCCTCCCCCAAAAAAAATGCAGGAAGGTTGCCCACCTCAGAAAAGAATTCATCCATGAAAGCTGTGTTGTCAATAGCGATCTCCACCTCGTCGGCATCATCGTCCTGTGTCAGCTGCTTCTATAAAAGACAAAAAGGAGCCGAGTGAGAAGAGAAACACAGTAAGCAGTGAACACTGAATGCTCACTAAGGCCCAAGAGCTATGTTAAACTTGTTATACATCATTTCCTTTAAAACTTACAGCAGCTCTATGAGGTCTTAAAACTCTGGTGTAGTACTATCTGAAATCCACTGACTTTTTGCAGGGGATGACAGATGGGGAGAAAGGGAAAAACAAGTAAGCTACTCATCCTGTTAGGCATAGGTTGCCTTATCGGTTAGATGCTGATAATATCAATACCTAACTCACAGAATTTAGGGATATAAACACTTTTGCACAGGCCTGACACACTGAAATGTTAGGGGTTTTTGCTATTTTGATGATGATCATTTGCTGCTTTTCTGGTGCTGGGGAATCAAACCCAGGAGGGATAATCGAACCCAGGTAGGGAACCAAACAGGAGCCTCACCCATGCCAGGGGAGCACTCTACCACTGAGATGCACCCCCAGCCCAGTGCTAGGTCTTGTTGCTACTGCCAGTGATGGTATGAATAATGGCATTTGAACAACTCACTCTAGTCGAACCTAAAACATACGAAGGCTTAGTAACTTGGCCAAAAGCCACCCAGCTACTACATAACGACAAGCAGATTCTATCTAACCCATCTACTGGTTCTGGACCCTTTGAGAAAATTCTAGCTACAGTTCCTCCAAAGTATGAACTTTGGATTCTCATAGCTGGAGTAAAGAAAATTTTCCTGTTTTTAGACACCACCTATTACCAAGGAAATGGTGATATGCTGTCCCCTGTCAGCTATTGTTCAAAAGGAAAAAGGAAACTCTCCTCCCTTCCCCGGCCCCAGCAACCTCTGGGGACCCACGATTTCTCAATTTTATTCACCTTCCTCTGCAGAATCAGCAAATGGCTAAGGAAATGATTACATTTCCACCCCACAACAAGGGCCCGGGCTATTTCTACATTCTTCCGGATTGTTCTCCCCAGTCCACTGCTGAACTGCACACTGCAAACTTATAAACACAGAGAGCAAACTGGATACTGAGGGGGCAGGTGGCGCAGGGGAATCCCCTATGCCTGCTTCTGCACAACCTTCAGCAGCCTATGGCCCAAGACACGTCACCCAAACACTCAGAACTCCACAGGCAAAGAGACCACCAGGAGCCTTTTTCCTGTACCCACTACCATCCCCCTACACACACACAAGAAGTCACTGGGATTTCCCATAGATATATCGGGTTCTCCAACCTTGGAGAAGTCTCGTGACTCTCTCTCGCAGCATCTCACTCTCTGGCTGCTCTGCAAAAACCAGCATCCCTAGATTAATAGGCACTTTCAAGGGAGTAGGATCTAATACCTCCACAATAATCTTCCTAAAACGAAACTGATCATGTCCCTCTGCCACCTAAAGTTATTTAATGACCGCTCATCTGCTAGAATTAAAACTCCCAAAATACCTACGAGAACACACAGGGACCTTTAAGATCCAGCCCCACCCACATTGATGGTCTACACAATTAGAATTCCTTGTATTTCCTGCACACATTCTTTTTCACATCACTACTGTCACCCAAGGGCTTCTTCCTGAAGGGCGTTTGTCCAACTGGCAAAATTTTACTCTGCCCTTAAACTTGGTTCAGATAACCTTTGTGTACCTTGCCTGACACATGCCTCCCCCATGCAAAATTTACAACCTCCCTAAGCACTTTGTACAACGCTTACACAGCAACATTCACAGCCTACTATTTTTATTCCTTTATTTATCTATTTTTTCTAATGATAAACTCCTGGTGGTTCAGAACTGCCTTATGTATCTGCTAAAGTAGATTCTTTGTGTGTGTTTGGGGGGGGAGGTGTCTGTCTGTCCATTCAATAAATCTTCCTCTAAATCACATCCCATGTGATTCTGGGGAGGCCATCAATGGTGACCTGAGCACCCAGAGGAATGTCACTTGTGAGAGGAGTCTGAAGTGAACAGAGCTGAGCCACCCTCCTTCCTGTCCAGGGTGACCCCTGGCTTTCAGCAGGGTCTGCAGATCTTCCGCAGTATCCTCTCAGTGAGTTGAACAGGATCCTCCCAATGCAGTCATTTTGTTCATTGGCCAGAGCTGGCTCTGTCCCTTGCAATTAAAATTCAGCACTGTAGTTGTCATGAATTAATTGATCCCACATAGTCCCTGAGTACTAAACACATAGTAGGCATTTAACAGAAATTGCATTAATTTTAACTGAATAAATAACTAACTTCAGCAGAGTTCAGCAGCCTGGACTTACCCATCATTTCTAAAGTTTGAGACAAATGTTCCCTTGGTCAAACATCAACACTCAGGCTTCTCATCAGCCTCCTCAGGTTCCTCTACCAATAAGATCTCTGCAATTCTTACTAAACAGCAGGAACCTGTCTTCCTCTGGAAAGGAAAGTTAATAAGCTTTTGCTGAGTGTCCTTTCTTCCAAGGTCATCTGGAGACGCACACAGAAGGGGAAAACCTCAAGTATGTGTCAATAAGATCCATTCCAAGGCATCGCTGCCCTGTTACATGCTGGTCACTGAGACTTAAACACATGGTTCTGTATCTGAGTCTCCATTTCCTCATCTGAGACACAAAAATAATAGCATGTCACTGGACCTTGACTGAGCATTGGGCCCCATGTCATTGCAACAGCCTCCCACCCATTTGGTTATCTCTCTGCTCTAATCGCATTATATCCCCATTTCTCCATATATGATAGTTCCTTGTCACTGCCTTGTCAAGTTCAAGGCCTCAGCCTGCCTTTCAAGATTCTTTGGAAACTAGCGTTTTTATGCCTTAGAGTCATACCCCTGCTCTCCACCAGGAGCCCTCTCCCTCCACCTGATCTCACTGTATTCTGCACCCATCACACCCATTCCTGCTCCTGGGCTTCTGGGCACCCTCCCTGCCACCACAAATACCCAGTGGCTGGAACATCTCTTAGCCTCCTCTGCTAACCAAACTCTATCTTCACAGTCTCCCTTTGATCACATCTACCCCACAAAACTGCCCCCAGTTTTTCATCTAAGAATTTTATGGGTTGCAATCTCTACTTCTGACCTCAATTTTAAGCAACTTGAGGTCAGAGACAGTATCTCTTAAGACTTAGTAGCTACAGGGCACCTGGCACAAGGCTGGCACATAAAAAATACGTATCCATCGGCTTGTCACCTGCTTGTCACCTTCTGCCTGCATGCCTACTAACACTGCCAAAACTTACTCTTGGGTTTTATGCCAACAAGGAGGAATCACTGAAAAGCCACCCTCCTCTTCCCTGCCTCTTTCCTCTATTAAAATTATATAGCATACATACATATAAATACACACACACATATATATAACTTACATATATATAAATGTGTATTTTAAAAACAACCTGCCAGGACTTATTTGAGGATTAAATAATATTTTGAAGTTCTTACCCAATAGACCAAACAATGGGTTACTGACACACACAGAATAGAGTCTGGGTTTCTGGTTTTCTAGCTTCTCCTAGAGTTTCCCCCTCACGCAGCACGCTATTTCCAAAAGTAGAAAACAACATTTAATCCAGATCAGATGTGCAGGAAGAGGCCATCATCACTTGTTATCTGGAGTCACATGAGCCTGGAACTACCCCCAGGGATCCCCTACAGAGTGGACTCTACCAGATCCCAGGAGGGGCTCCTTCCTTTCTGACCAGGTGGCTCTTGCACACCAAGGGGCACTGGGGACCCCAAAGGCAAGGAAAGCACACAATGCCCTTTATCCTCAGGCCTCTGACTGGGCTTAGCTGAGAAGAGAACTTCAGCATCATTATCAAAGGATCGGAGTATGTGGTAATAGGAACGTTACAACAGCTGCAAGATCAGCCACGAGGGGTGGGGGTAAGGGGTCAGTACAGGGGAACATGAGCCCAGCACCCATTTCCTCCCTGCCCAGCCTCCTGACGCCTCTCATGTCAAGAGATGGGAGATATTAGGAATGACTTTAGCAACGCTGGGCTCCAGCTGGGGATGTGTCTCCCCACACTTGACCCTCAAATGTACACCAAGTTTGAGAATTCATAGCCAAGGTTATGACCTTCCCTCTGCACAGAAAGTGGGAAGAACTGAGGGGCCCAGAAATCAAGCTCAAGCAATTTAACCCGCCATCCCCTCACTCAGTGCTGCCTTTCAAACTGCCTTCTCCACCACCCTCAGTCCATCTGACCACGGGCCCCTTTTCACTAGCTCAGTTAATAAAAAGAGTTGCCACCTGTAGGGCCCCTACAAAGTGCTGGGTAGTCACAACACCCTCCTTGCTTTCTGTACACCATTTCATCCAATCCTACCTGCAGTCTATAGTGAAGCAACTGCAGTTCAGAGAAGCTGTAATTTATTCAGGGTCTCCCAGCTGCCGGGGCCTCTTAGGGCACTGTACCCCGCACAAAGCCTATCACAAGAACAGCCAGGAGAGCAGCAGTCCAGCTCTGCAGAAAGAATCCTGGGCTGGGAGACAGGAGCTGCAGGCCTTGGGGACAACACTTGTCTTTGCTAAACCTCAAGTTTCTCAGCAAGTCAGGTTAGCTTTCTACTGTGGTTTGGGGAAACCCCAGGATGCCTCAGGCGTGCCTCAGAAGCCACCCAGGGGAGTCAGGGGGAGGGGAGGCCTACAGGGCTCCTGGGCCTCGCCTCCCTCTCTAATCTGCATAACTTCACTTTTACCTGTTTATCCAGTGGGTACAAGATTTCATTCTAAGAAAGTGTCCGGTTGTCAAAACAAGGAAGGAAGAAAGAAAACAGAAAAACCACTGAAGCAGATAAACAGGTGCCCTCCAGAAGAGAGAGAAGGAGATGAATTCCTGCCCCTCCCTAAGTGGAAGCAGGGCTGCCCCACAGCATTTCATTAAGGATTTTACAAATCAGAGCAGAAAGACAGGACAGGGACAGAGAAAGAAAAAGGAAGTCACCCCACAAGAGGAAGACCTCCTTCACCAGCTGTCTGACCGCCTCTTCCCATCGGTGCCCTGACCCCCAGAGGAGAGGGGGCAGGAGGAGCCAGAAGGCCAGGAGTTCCCAGGAAGGAGTCTCTGGGTGAAACAAAGGACAAGGGGAGGGGACATCTGGTCCTTCACATCCCACAGCAGGATAGTAAAGGACTGTGATGTGGTAGGCAGGAACCTCCCAACACATGTGCAGGTGACCAAAAATGCTGTACCTTCTCCTCCCCACCCCGAAAAGGTTCTTCACTCTGGAAACAAAGACTTATCTGTAAACCCAGACTCTCCTGATAGACCTGATTCAGAGGGACAGCAGCATCTACTGCCCACACCCACCACCTGCCTTCTCTAGGATGAGGGTCTGTGGGTCAAAGACAAGAGACCACACTTCCTTGCACGGGTTCCAACACACATGGACACACGCCATGCACACACTGCCTGACATCTGGGGTTTCCAGTCCCTCTTCTTTGGTCTATAGACAAGAATTCTGAGTGAGCATGTGGGCTCTCAAAAAGCACCGGGTATAATCCATTTCCCATTTAAAGAGTCAGATGACCCTTCTCCCATGCCCAGTTCTCCCCATAACACTGTTTTCTGTTGCAGTGAAACCCCCGCCAAAGGAACACTTCCCCTTTGTGCCCATCTTACCGTCCACAATACCCTAGTCAGATGAACCAAGAGGAAATGACAGACAATGGGACCCTGGGTGAGCCAGCTTTGGCTTTGAAGATGCTGTTCTAGCTGAGAGACTGAAGGCAAGCAGCTCACCCTGCGTGGGAGAAGGGAGAAGACGCTGAGGAATAAACTCATTACCAGATTAAGTCAGTGGACAACTGGAAGCGGGCCAGAGTCCCTGAGGACTCCCTCCACTCATTCTGCCATAACAAATCATAGCAGACAGCGTGTGTGGTGGAGGTGGAGGTGGAGGTGGTGGAGGTAGTGGTGGTAGTGGTAGTGGTGGTGGTGGTGGTGGTGGTGGTGGTGGTGGCAGTACTCTCGTGGTTTCAAACAAATTATTTAATTCTCACATCAACCTTATGAGGAACAAATTTTAATTTGCCCACTTACAGATAAGGTGATTGCTTAATTAGGTTAAATGATTTATCTGAAGTGATTCAGCTACTAAATGGCATCATTAGGATTCAAACGCTACTCTGTGGTAGCCCAGGGCCCCTGCTTACACCTTTACATGCAACTTGAAGGCACCTCCCAGTCTGGCCAGGTAACACATCCTAGCTCATTTCAGAGGACGCTGCAGCGTCTACTGATCTAAACTGAATTAATCTACATGAGTGAATGAAAAAGATACTGATGCATATAATCCTATAAATGAGCATGTATGTAGAGATAAATCTGACTTTGAGAGTTCACAGCCTGATTCTGACACTCAGGAGCTGTGTCCTTTTAAATGAGTTACTTAACCACTCTCTGACTCAGTTTCCTTTTTTGTAACAGGATCAGAATAATCTGCTCATAGAATTGTTGTAAGGATTAAATGAGCTATTACAATGTGAGATGCTCAGAGCAACTCTGGGCACATAAACTCTGTTAAACGCCCAAGTTCACACCACCTCAAGTAGAGAATGGAGCCTTGCTTTTAAAACTGCCAGTTCTCAAAAGGTAATAGCCAGTGTCTCAGCAAGAGGGAAGTTCACGTAGCTACTGCATTATATTTGTTATATACACATTTATTTTGAAACTGTCATTTTAAAGAACTAGAGCTCCCTCCAAATTCTGCTTTGGCTACATTCTCACCACTTGACATTTACTGCTCTCATTAGCATTCACTTCTAAATAGTGTGTCACTTCTATTTTGATTCATTTTTAAGCCAAGAGTTACATGGGAAGGTGTTTTGAAATTTCCAAGGTAGGTAAGCTGGGGAGGATTATTATTGCATTGTGATTCCTAATTACATCTCTGTCAGAGAATATATGACTTGTAGTCTATGCATTTTGTCTTAATACAGGGTCATTATTTCTTATTCTTCCATGCGTCTTTTGAAAGAACTTCTATTCAGCCAGGAGTGGTGGCTCACACCTACAATCCCAGAGACTCAGGAGACTGAGGCAGGAGGATCACAAGTTTAAGGCCAGCCTCCACAACTCAGCAAGGACCTAAGCAACTTAGCAAGACCTTGCCTCAAAATAAAAAATAAAAAGAGCTGTGGACATAGCTTAGTGATAAAACATCCCTGGATTCAAAACCCAATACCAAAAAAAAAAAAAAAAAAAATAAAAAGGTTCTTAAACTTGCATTATATTTGTTATATACAAATTCCATCCCCACATGTCGTTTAGTTCCTACCTGCTTTTGCTTCTCAATACGTGAGCTAGATCTGGGTAGAAGCAGTGAACACAAGAAAAGAAAGGATTGGGAGACCCCCTCTGGGTAGATGTCATCTTTACCAACAAGGAATCTGGGTTAGGAAGGTTAGTCCAACCAGGATTACCCAGCTCATGAGGGGGAAAAAAAGAGCTGATTTTGGAGCCTCTTGGCCCAATCCAAGATTCACTGCTACATCAACTTGGAGAGGGAACTCAAGGTCTCATAACCAACCACCACATCCCCAGTATTCTTCACTCACAGGAAGGTTCCATGCCAAGTAACAGACTCATGTGTTTGTTCACTCATCCAACAGTATTTATGGAACATCTAACATCTGTTAAGCCATAATCTAGACGCTGGAAAAACACAAACACACTCCAACACCCCCAGCTCTCCAGGATCTCACTGTCTCAGAGGGCAGATGGACCGACAGGCGCTTCCAGCACCACCTGGTGAGTGATGACAGCACACAGTACAAGGAAAGTATAAGCACACCCAGGAGAAGACAGGTGCCCAACCTCACCTGGACACAAGGCACAGCCAGGGAAGATGCAAGCCTATCAGAGAATCCTTGCAGAGGTAGCTCCTTGGGGAAATTTTGAAAACTGGATGGACTTACTCCAGGAAAACCTACAAGAAGGCCATTGCAGGTAAAAAGACCACATCTTCTTTCTGCCTTCTCTCTCACCCCATGACAGAGCTGAGGGCTGTCTGAGAAGCCGAGGCAGTGAGAAGATCCCTCTTCACACCCCGATTCTTATGACCCAGTCAGAAAGATTTCAGGTACGTCTTTCAGAGTAACAGGCGTGAATTTATTGAAGGCACAGTAAAAAGGAAGAGGGACCCTCTAAAGGGAGAGAGTGGGTCCTCTCAGAGAGGAAAGGGACAACAGGCCTCTCCCGCATTCCAGTCTCACTGGGGATCCCAAAAAAGTTTCCAGAGTCCTACTCGTGTCCAACTCTTGACTTGTGACTGAGAGCCAGACGACATCAGACTTTCAAGTACCAATTGCCATGACAATTCTAGGTCACCCTGGTGGACGCCGAACGGCTCTAACTGGATTCCTAACCACACATTCTTACAGACTTTGTGGTCAGGAGGAATTATCCTCATCTCCCAGAGTTTCAGGATCTGGTCACAAAAGTCCCCCTCCAGGGTAACTTGGGTTCCTCTTTATCAACTTATCTCAGGCCTACATTTCTCCTGCAGTTAACAAGTAGTTTGCTGAGGAATATGACCTATTCTGTTCACTTAGGCCAGGCAGCGCTGCAGGTAAATTGCTCCTT